TATTAGAGGAAAGGAATAAAGGATATAACTGGGAGTCATTGCAAAGAAAAATGAAGCACTTGACACAATAGTTGAAACAATTGGTACAGTCTTTTAAGGAACAATGTCTTGAAGAAGAAACAGACTCAAGAATTGTACTTTGGGGGACACCTGGACGGCTCAGCGGTTGGGTGCCTGCCTTCAGTTCAGGTCGTGAACCTGAGATCTGGGATTGAGTCCCGCATCGGCCTCCCCGCAAGGAGCCTGCTTCTCCCTCTGCCTATGTGTCAGTCGTCTCTCATGAATAAATAAATAAATCTTAAAAAAAAAAAAAGAATTGTGCTTTGGGGAATAGTCATGGATGTTTAAAATGCAGAAAATGAGTAAGAAAGGAAATGTTAATAAAAATAAGCAAGTTGTGCACATCGGAAATCATGTTAGGTAGAGGTTCATAGTTCATAATTAGCAATGTCAGTATCAGTGGGGAGCACCTAGAGAATGACGATAAAGACATTTAATTGTGAGAACATATTTGGTAATCTTTGAGAATGAGATACAGTAGAAGAGTGGGAAAGAAAATAGGGATCCCTGGGTGGCGCAGCAGTTTAGCGCCTGCCTTTGGCCCAGGGCACGATCCTGGAGACCCGAGATCAAATCCCACGTCGGGCTCCCGGTGCATGGAGCCTGCTTCTCCCTCTGCCTATGTCTCTGTCTCTCTCTCTCTCTACCTGTGTGACTATCATAAATAAATAAAAGCTTAAAAAAAATAGACTGCAAAAAAGTGAATTTCGAGACAGCTTTTTAGCATATCAGTAACAGGAAGTTGGTAGGTTGTCTTAATTGTGGTTCATGAACATTATCCCCCAACTTCCTGTCATTGAATTTAGCACATAGATCACAATTATCTCTCTAATCTTATGTGACTTTAGTATCTATATGGATAATCTCATTGTCATCTAGTCTTTCTGTACATAGTTCTTTTTCTCCAGTGATTTTATTCTCTATTCTGTAACTATCCATCCACTTCTGTAGTTCTTGTTGTCAGATGAAATTGCTGCATTTATGAAATTCTTGATTCAGGCATTCTCTTTTCTAAACACCAGTTGCAGTATTTCTAGCTTACTTGTTTAAATATTCCCACTCTGTTTTTTAACTTTATCTGGACCTCCAGTCCAATAATCTCTTTATTTTCTGCTTACACTTTTGTCTTTTGTGTTCTCATTTTCTTCTCATCCTGTTTAGATTTTATGTTAGATTATGTTTCATCATTTTAATAATTTTTACCAGTATCCTAAACTATTTTCTCTTCGATTTTTTTTTTTTTTTTTCACAATTCTTCTGAAGCTACTCCAACCCTGGATGAACTCAGCGATTTTCTTTCTCTTTGCTTATGCCTGGTGAAATAAGGAAAATCTCACAAGAGCACAGATTGGTCTCACTATAAACTCATAATCACTACTTATATCCTTAGGCCAACAGCACTGTCTGATGACTCTTAATATTTTCCGAACTCAAGTTGTTCTTTCTCAAAGACTCAGATCTTCTTGATTTGCATCAAATTTGTATTTTTACTCCTATTTTTAGCAGATGATGTTATGTCCTTTTCACAGGAAAATTAAAGCCATTGGATCAGAATACTTCAACCCTTCTGCTATCAAAGCTATAGTGCAGATCTGCCTAACCTGTTTTTTCAGTGTCAATAGCAGAAGATATTTCTCCATGTCTCTTCAAGGTTCAATTCCTCTACCTGGCTGCTGGTTCCAATTTCCTATCTTCTTATCAAACCTTGCGCTTATTAGCCCTCTTTATCCTCTTATTCTTGATAACTCATATGAGCCTTGATATATGCTCTAGTTCATCTAACCTTAGAAAAAGAAAACAGATTTCTTCTTGACCCCATTGAGCCTCTATCTACTTGACAGTCTTTATCTTCTCTTTTACAGTCAAAGTAAGAGTTGTCCATACTCTCTATCTTACTATACTTTGTTTATATTCACTCCTCTACAATTTTTTCCCCACCAAACTGCTTTTTTTTTTTAAAGCCATCAGTGACCCTCACGCAAGTATACATTTTTAATCTACATCCTACTTGGCCTCTCAGAAACTTGTAAATAGACTTGCCCATTTTCTTAAAACTCTCTTCCTTTAGCTTCCATTGCATCAAAATCTCTTGGTTTTCTTTCTATTGCTTAAAGAAAGTGGGAAGCTACTGAAGTATTTTAAGCAAGGAAGGATCCGTTTTAATGTGATTAAAGCTTTCAAAGGGAGAGGATTTGGCTGAAGAAAAGACCAGTTTTGAAGCTACTATAATAGTCTTAAGCCAGAGATGATATTTGCCTGGATTAGAATGGAGACAGATGGTTTAGAAGAAATTGAAAAGATTATGGGAAATTTAGAAGGTAATACCAACAGGATTTTGTGATAGATTAAAAATAGATGGTTAGGAAGCAGGAAATTGCTTGTTGTGATTTAGGCATCTAAGATAGATGGTATGCCATTTATCAAAGGGGAAAAAAAAACATTGGAAAAGACCATGTTGAGTTATAGGTGCATTTGAGATTCTGAATGGAAGCATCATGAGGGAAGTTGGATATGTAAGCTCGAATCTCAAAAAAACTAAGTTATAAATCTTTTAATTGTTGCTGTTTAAGTGGTGATTTAATTGAAGTCACATAAAAGAAATACACGTAAAGGAAATAATTGGGAAAAGCTTAAGAGTAGGAAGAGAACTCAGCCTAATAAGCTTTGGTGAATTCCCCACTTGAAGGTTTGTTTATTCTGGTAGGATGAATTGGCAAGGAAGACCAAGGAATCATGGCAAAGGTGGGAGAATGCCCTGTCTAAGCCTTGGGAAGAGAATGTTATAAGAAAAGGAGCAAGTATCTTTGTTCTTATCCAAATATAGTATATCATTTATCTCACTTAATGATAATTGCCTATCTGTGCATACAACCAGCAGTATAAGTCCTTTTAGGGATTGTGGGTTGAACTAGCTTGGAGACAAGCAAACATTTTCTGTAAAGGGCCAAATAGTAAATCTTTCAGGCTTTGTGGGCCATACCATTTCTGGTGTAACTACTCAACTCTGCTACTGTAGCATGAGAGAAGCCCTATACAGTGCATTAAAGTTGAGTGCTACTGTGTACTAATAAAACTTTATTTATGGATGCTAATATTTGATTCTCATAATTTTCACATATCACAAAATACTATTCTTGTGACTTTTAAAACCATTTAAAATAGAAAAAAGATTCTTAGCTTGTGGACTACACAAAAACAGGGAGGGGGCAAATTTGGCCCAATGCTGTAGTTTACTGACCCTTTTCCCATAATCGAGCCTGGTACCTGAACCATAAGAGACATTCAAGTAAACGTTTGTTGAATAAATTAAAGCTGAATTAGTTCTGGTCCAGTTTCTATGTTTCTTGGGGGTAGGGAGGTGGTAAAGGTAGACTTTCTTTTAAGTCCTGAAAGTGAGAATTCATACATTTTATGTTCATGCTTCTCTTTAGAGATTAACTTTTAATTTGCTAAAAGTAAATTTAACATTTTGAGACACTGTCAAGTGGCCAGAAAGTAGTTTTAAATATTTAAAAGGATATAATTATATTATTTTGGGTTGCAGAAAGGTAAAACTGAGTTCCAGGGCTTCCTAGAATGCATAGAATTTTTGGCTTTGGTATTTATTGATATGTATGTTTTAAAAACACCAATAGGCAGTAAAACACCCCTTTACATCATTGAGAATTCTAATTATTGTCTAGAATTTTTGTTTTCATTTGCTCTTAGTCATATAAGAGCATACTGTTGGTAGGGCATGAACTCTGCATTTATGTTGCTAGAATTTAGCATGAGAGACAGTCTATAGGCAAGTGAACAAATAGATTAATATATATTGACAACTTGTGATATGTACCATGAAGGAAATTAACAGGTGTAATATTAGAGACTCATTATGAAAGATGGGCAGAGATAGTTATGATGTTCAGACAATGTATCTCTTGGGAAGTATTATTTACGCTGAGACTTGAGTTATATGAGTGGGAGAAGAGAGGAGTACCTAGAGATAGCATGTGTGATTACTCTGAGACCCATGAAAACTTAGTATTTTCCAGGAACTGAAAGGTGGTTTTAGGCCGAAATAACTTGAGGTATCTGCATTTAAGATATGTACAAATAATTGATTATATAACAGAGATTGATATATTTTGGGTTTTTAAAAATCAGACAAGCTGTAGTAAGATATAGCTCATAAGTATCAGGATCAAAATTGGCTAGGTTAAAAGGAAAATTTCCAGTGCATTCCGTGTTCATTGAAAACCATTTAGCTGAAATGATGTTACTATTATCTATATGGATTGACAGGCAGCTGAAACTAATGTAATTCCCATACCAAGGGCTGTTTAGCACCAAACTTCACATGTGCTGAAATAATAAGTCAAAGAAGAAAATGGTTCCTACTTGAGTAATTCCATTTAGTCTCTGAAATGTACCACACTAAGGTTATCACCGTAAGAGATGCCTGAAGCAAAAGAAGGATGGCCTAACAGTAGGACTTCTGAGTCATTGTCAGTGGGAAGAGCACAACAGATTGGAAAGAGGGTAGAAAAGAATGAGGGAAAGAGAATAAGCATAAAACAAGGTGAAATGGAATCCTGGTCAATCAGAGTAAAAGGAGGACAAGAAAAAAGAATTCAAGTAAAGAAGGAAGGGAGGATGCTAATAGTTTAAGAGGAAAATATTCTAATAGGCATAATTTTATACAGAGTAAAATCTTAGAAAAGTCTAATTTACCCATTGCCTAGTCATTGGAGAAATTTTAAATCAAAGCTGATCATCTTTGATTATCTCTTCTACTTAAAAATATGTTTTACAATATTTCACTTTGAAAACTCAAAGTGACAAATTACATATCATTTTATAATTTTGTATCTTTTTAAAATATTTGTAAATATTTGTTTTTAAATAAAATGTATATACCGTCCAGTATATTGTATTTATTTACTCAATGTTCTTTTAAGTGTTTCAGGCTGCATGTACCAAGTAGTTCAGACGATTGGCTCGGATGGAAAAAATCTTCTGCAATTACTTCCAATTCCTAATTCTTCTGGAAATCTTATACCGCTAGTTCAATCTTCAGTCATGTCTGATGCTTTGAAAGGGAATACAGGAAGCCCAGTTCAAGTTACTATTCAGACTCAGATTTCCAGCTCTTCCACAAGTGCATCAGTTCAATTGCCCATTTTTCAGCCAGCCAGTTCTTCAAACTATTTTCTTACAAGAACAGTAGATACAGCAGAAAAAGTTAGAGTTACTTCTGTGGGAACTGAAAGTTTTACCTCATCAGTTTCTAAAGTTCAGAGTCATGGTGTGAAAATTGATGGACTCACCATGCAAACATTTGCTGTTTCTCCCTCCTCAACACAAAATGATTCACCTTATATTTTAGTAAATACTCAGAGTCTTCCAATGACTGTGAAGTCTCCAGTTTTGCCTTCTGGGCATCATTTACAGATTCCTGCCCATGCTGAAGTGAAATCTGTACCAGCGTCTTCATTGCCTCCTTCAGTTCAGCAAAAGATACTTGCAACTGCAACCACAAGTACCTCAGGAACAGTTGAGGCCTCCCAAATACCAACTGTTATTTACGTATCTCCTGTAAACACAGTGAAAAATGTAGTTACCAAGAACTTTCAAAACATTTACCCAAAACCTGTTACAGAAATAGCAAAGCCAGTGATACTAAATACACAAATTCCAATGAATGTTGCTAAAGAGACACAATTAAAAGGTGGTCAGCATTCTCAAGCTGCTCCTGTGAAATGGATTTTTCAAGAAAATCTACAGCCTTGCACTCCATCTCTTGTTCCTGTTAAGTCTTCAAATAATGTGGCTTCAAAGATTTTAAAAACTTTTGTAGATAGTAAAAGTTTGGGAGATAATACTATAAATATGCCATCATTGAGTACTGTGAGTCCTAGTGGGACACAATCCAAAAGTATGCCTATTAAAGATAATGCTTTGGTTATGTTTAATGGGAAAGTCTATCTATTGGCTAAAAAGGGGACAGATGTTTTGCCATCACAAATTGACCAACAGAATTCTGTTTCTCCTGATATTCCACCAAGAAATGATACATCACAAATAGTGAGTTCAAGTGCAGTGACAGAAATATCCAGAGAGGTTGTAAATATTGTTTTGGCTAAAAGTAAATCTTACCAGATGGAGACAAAATCACTCTCAAATATTCAGCCTGCTTCCATGATCAATCTAAGGGCAGAGAAGAATAAAAAAGTGGAGAAACCATCTCTTTCTACCCCAAACCCACATAATATGAATCAATCCATTAACTACTTAAAACAGAGTAAGACTTTATTCACAAAGCCAGACTTTCCAGTTGGATTTAGTACAGTACAAAATGCCCCCAGAAAAGGAAATACCATCCAGAGCAGAGAGAAAATAAGTTCCTCTGTTGATGCAACAACTCTTACTTCACAACAGTGTGTTTTCAGAGACCAAGAACCAAAGGTAATTTTCCCATGTCAGGGTGTTCTTTTTATCTATCTATATAGAAAATTTTTCTTTCTTAATTCTCAAAGTTAGTTACCTATGACACCTCTCACCCCTCCCCCCCACCGCAACCTCCTTTCCCATCTTCCACTCCATCACACACATACTGAACACACATGAATGCTTAAGTCACAGCTTTTATTTGAAGGAAATGTTTGAGGAACATAATAGAGTCCAAGCAGCATCTTTCTCTTAAATCATTTGGCATGCCAAATCTTTAAAACAAAGTCAAACAAACAAAAAACCTCAGAGCAATAAGGTTTAAGAGAGTTGTTGAATGATAATGTGAATTCAAAGCTTGGTAAAATTCTGTGTCTGTGTGTATATATATGTGAACACACATATATATACATATGTACATACATTAATAGATTATTGTTAGCATATGAAAAGATCAATATGCATCTAGGAGAGCTGGGTTTTTTGTTTGTTGGTTTTGTGATAGTAGGGAGATATCTGGCAATTTTAGATAGATGGTAGAAGTGATAGAATGGGGCTTAATACCTTTCATTTGCAGAAATAGGATTTATCAACATTTTGTTTTTTTAGTAGACAGTTTCCTTTTTTTTTTAAAACCCTTTCTGACTGTTCATTTATTCAACATATCCACATAGTTACCTTTCTGTTCTTTTAAAAAATGTTTCTCTGTGCTAAGTATTTGTGCCTGTTCTTTTCTTTCATAGAGGTCTACTTAATAATGTCAGTGTTTCTCCCCTTTGGTATGGAATTCATTGAATTCCAGATATGTAAGAGGGTAAATTCTGAAGTATAAGATTGATTGAAGGCATAAGACTTTTCCAGAAGACTGCAATTTCCAACTAATGTTTTATAGATTATTTTTAACTTGTCATTAGTCTGTGTTCTTATTTCAGTTGTTTGGGAATCAACGATTTGTTAACTTTTCTAGTGCAAGAAAGCAACATGAGAAATTTTAGGGGAACAATTAAGTTTGTACTCAGTTAAGTTCGTTTTTTTTGAGTGTGGGTGGTAAGGCAAGGGTAATGCAAACCAACCACTTAGGACTTGAGAGCATGATGTTTTGAGTAAGATGAGATGAACACTTAGTTGCTAGTCTGATAAAATAGCTTAAGTAATTAGCAGTATTGTTTGTGTGTTTTGTTTTCCTAATTCCAGATCCAGAATGAGATGGCATCAACATTCAAAAAAGTTACTCAAGAAAGAAATGACAAGAACCATTCCCAAGGAGGAAGCAATAAGGCATCATATTTGAAGAATGATGCTGAATTTAAAAAGATATTTGGTCTCACTAAAGATTTGAGAGTGTGCCTTACTCGGATTCCTGATAATTTGGGTTCTGGAGAAGGTTTTGACTCCTTTAGCAAGAGTGTCTCTTACAAAGAGACAGAGTTGATAGTGAAGGAGGAAAAGAAAAAACAGGTAATAGATTTTTGTGACCTTTGTAGTTACTCCAAAGCTTTATGGATGTTTTATTGATTTGGGGTTTTTTTAGTCTTTGCATTAATAGGAATGATAGTTGTTATCAAACTTGCATATATGTATATTTTATACCAAATCAGTGTTAAAGAGAACCATTATGCATCTATAAAAATGCATCCCTAGTTAATTAGAGATGTTGCATTAAGTGTTTCTATTCATCTGTTTGTATTTTTTCATCAAATAATTAAAATGGCCATCACTTTCTAAACTAGTTACCCTACTTTGAAGACACTATCTAAAATAATCCAAGTGTAGGGAAAATGAGGAAAAGTGTAGATATTCCTTGCAGTATCACCCTTAATACAAACATTTTAAGAAATCTACTTGGTCAGTAATGATGAAAAGAAACATCCCTATAACTTTGCCTATTGTTATTCTACTTAGAAATATATCATTATACTGTTTAATATCCTGAACTTTAGGTGAGAGACCAGTGAACAAGTTCTTTACGTATGGCTGTTATATTTTGATATATTTGATACATCGAATTTGATATTTTGATAATATTTTGATATTTTGATAATAGATCAATTCATCTAATACTTAAGCAGGAAAATGTAAATTAAGCAGTTTATTCTCTGGGAATATCATTAGGACATTGCTATTCATTTTAGTACTGTACAGTGGTAAACAATTTTTTGCTGTAGTTTTAATATGTTTTGTTGAAATTAGTAAGTATTTGTTACTTGCAGACTTAAATTTGAGAACACACTGTCTATATGGCAATAATTTGTTTTTGTTTCGGAATCTTACTCAACAGGGTTTTGATAAGAAAAGAAAAGCAAAAACCGTTAAGAAGATGGATCACACAAAGAAGAGAAAAACAGAGAGTGTTTATAACACAGCTGTAAATGGAGGAAATAACGTCACCATGTCCCAACTTGTCAGCAGTATTTTACCAGCTTCAGATGTATCACGTCATAACATTCTCACAGGCCACAACAAAACCAGAGAAGAAAAGAGAACTGAGGTTGAACACTATACCCTAGAGAACCAGGAAAAAGGCACATTGAGTTCAAATGCAGCTTTTGAACAAAGTCATTCCTTTAATAAAAATTATACGGAAGATATTTTTCCCATAATGCCACCAGAGTTAGAAGAAACCATTCGAGATGAAAAAATAAGAAGACTTAAGCAGGTGCTGAGAGAGAAGGAAGCAGCTCTTGAAGAAATGCGTAAGAAGATGCACCAAAAATAATAAAATACTTCTGTACCTAAAGACTGCAATGAAATATATGTGTGTTTCTTTCATATAGTTTCACATTAAGTTAATTATGGATGCATTCTGAAAGTGTTTTGAATATGAAACTTGTTCTTTCATCAGTTGATGATTAAATTTTATTTAAGAACTACAAAAAAGGGATCCCTGGGTGGCGCAGCAGTTTGGCGCCTGCCTTTGGCCCAGGGCGCGATCTGGAGACTTCGGATCGAATCCCACGTCGGGCTCCCGGTGCATGGAGCCTGCTTCTCCCTCTGCCTATGTCTCTGCCTCTCTCTCTCTCTCTCTCTGTGTGTGACTATCATAAAATAAATAAAAATAAAAAAAAAAGAACTACAAAAAAGATTGATTCACACACTATGAAAAAAAAAGATTGATTCACACATGACTCTTGTGAATAATCTACCTGGGGTATCTGAATCTTTGTCTAGATACCTTTTATGTTCTATTTTTCTATTTTAATTAGAATTCCTGAAATTTGAATATTTGTGCGAGGTTTTTGTTATTTGCATCTTTAGCTGAACCGCTCAGGTGTTATTTCAACAGTAGATAATTATTGTATACTACTGAAATTATACAATGCAAGGGAGGAAATCAGCTCTAAACTTAGCTTTGCCAATTGGCTTATATATGTACTCACTTAGTCTGTATTCATAAAATGATACCATTGTTGTAATTTTTTTATTTCCTAAAAGAAAATGTATTATAGCAGTATTATTTAAAAATGCAAACATTTCTCAAGAGGGAGGGGTACTTGTTTTGTGGCTCTTACAAAGTAGTTTTATATAATCCAAAATGGGTTTTAGAATCCAGGCTGTATAATGTATTTGCTTAAAGTTATGCATTATTATTCTTAGGTAAATGGTTTTTTTTCTTCATCCTCCTCCTCCTCTTCTCCTTTTTTGGAATGTGTATATATGTAACTGTGAAAAGTAAATCTGATCAATGGCCACATTTAATACTTTTTAAAATTGTCAAGTATACTTTTTCTTAATGGAGGCAAACATTTTTCTGTCTAGTTATGTTTGATTTCGACAGTTCGGGAGTTGTGTGGCGATAGGGATTAATGGGAAGAAGGAAAAGTTTGCCCCCCCAAAAAGGAACCCCCCCCCCATGAACGAATTTCCAGAAGTAAGGTCACATAAAATCTATACACACTGAGAAGGAAGTAGAGCAAATCCAAACTGATCAACTAACTTTCTCCTGCCTTTTGTTTATTGTAGTAGTTTTGTTGAGATGATTCACTTACCATCAGTTCACCCTTTAAAAGTGTACAATTCAGTGGGTTTTATTATAATAGTTACAGAATTGTGCAACTATCAACGTGACCTAATTTTAGGACATTTTCATCACTCCCCAAAGAACCTTATACCCATTAGCAGTCACTCCCCAGGCCCTCCTCCCGTCAGCTCTAGGCAACCACTAACACACTTTATGTCTCTATGGATTTGTGGAAATTCGTGAGCATGGTATAAATCATTCAGTATATTTTCTTACGGGATTGATTTCTTTCACTTAATGTTTTCAAAGTTCATTTGTGCTGTGGCATGTATTAGTACTTAATTCTTTCTATAAATTATTGAATAATATTCCATTGTTTGAATATACCATACTTTGTTTTCCACTCATCTGCTTATGGACATTTGGATTGCTTACGCTTTTGGCTTCTAGGATATTATGTTGCTGTGAATGTTTGGATATAAGTTTTTATGTGAACGTATGAGTGTATACTTAGGAGTATAATTGCTGGGTCGTATCCTAATTCTGTTTAACATTTTGTGGAACTGCCAAACTATCCCTGTCAGGTTTTTCTACCCTCCACCAAAATGGATCTTGTCAAGCACATCAGTGACTTCCCATGTTGCTAGGTCTAGCAGTCCGTTATCAGTTGTCTTTATCTTTTGGGGAAAGTATAATTTCATGAATCATTCATTACCTCCTTTGAAAAATTTTAAAGCCAAAAAAAACAGACGCCGTCAAAGGCATAGTATACAACCAAAACCCCTCCATATGCAGTAAAAACCCCACTACCCCCCAGCAGCTCTCCACAAACACCCACCAGAAGGGCAAGGCGCACCGACATAACCCAAAACGAAGTGATACAACCACGGACACAGCGGATATCCTAGCCCGAAGACCCATCCACTCAAAACAACCAAAACAAAACAATTTATACCCACCCATACTCATAACACCCCAGCAAAGATACAAGACCCATTAAATCCATCAAAAATGTATACACCTAAAAATCGCCAAAACAGAGTAGGCTACAAGTCCAAAAACATACACACCCACTGCCCCTGAAAGCCAATCACCCTAGCCCCAAACGTGCTGCCAACACATACAAAAAAATACAGCAAGTATATGAACCTACAACCCGTGCCTCATAATCTCCACCCTATCATCTCTCCCCCACACAGACAAACAACCTGGCCCCTTGCGTCCCCGCTCTAACTAAAAATAGTCCCCCAAGCTGAATAAAATAACCCATGGGGATAAATAATTAATATAAATATAATTACGGAGTAGAGGACAGTATTCTCTCTACACCTACATTTTATGAGGGCTAATATACAAGTACAGAAATCCCAACCAGCCCATCAAAAACTCCCACACAATCCTAGCACATCTCGTTCAATCACCTATCTTAACAACCTAGACTTTACTACCCCAAGCAATATAGCCTCCTTGCCCCAAGCAAGCCAGCCCCGCCCAACCACCAAATCACTCCGAGCCCAGCTTCTAATTCAATGAACTATTGGATTATGTAATGCACGAATATTATATATGCGCATATATGCCGAACATGTACAACCGGCATAGTCAACTCAAACCCACAACAAATATATAGTTGAGAATTACACCAGGATAATGATAATATCATTCACATAAAGCAGGCCAACACCACAGACTATAGGCAAATATATTCCTTATATCATTATTTTCTGGCAACCAAAATGCGCCACCCTACTAACCTCATAACCCCATTGAATGTGACGCTCTCACCAATTTTACGCCCTCAGGCCCATGTATAATCCATATTTTCAGTTAAATGCAAAACTAGCTTAACAAAATCAAAGCAGCAACACGGGGTCAGTACCCGTTAAAACCATAATCAACCAGTTTCCCCCAAAACTACTTAAACACATAAACACTTTCAAACAAACCCAAACAACCCCCGAAGACCCTAAAAACATTACACCACAAAAACCACCACAACACATAATTATTTTCTGTATTTCTATGGTGTTGGTTGTTACTTCTCTCACTTGTGATTTTATTTATTTGCGTCTTTTTTTTTTCTTTTTGATAAGTCTGGCTAGAGGTTTGTCAGTTTCTTTTTTTTTAATCTTTTTTTCAAAGAACCATCTCCTGGTTTCATTGATGTGTTCTATTGGGTTTTGGTTTTTGGTTTTGTTTTGTTTTAGTTTCTATATCATTTATTTCTGCTCTGATCTTTATTTCCTTCTGGCTTTATGCTTTGTTTGTTCTTTCCCAGCTCCTTTAGATTGGAGATACAAAATTAAAGGCTCTTAGTACATATTTGAAGTCATAGGTCTGAATAACATCACTTAAGAAGATGGTATAAACAGAGGGTAAAATTGTGGACTCATGTCTGAGTATATTTAAAGGTTGGGGAAAGGACATTTATGAATTTTGAGGAAGAAATGTATTTTGAATGGATTGTATTTGTAAATCCTTGAATAGTGTCTGACACAGTAAACAATATATCAGTATTCGTTAAATAAATTCAACTAAAATCACCGTGATATATTGCATTCATCTCCCATTTCATTTCATTTTCTTGCTTGTTTTAGCCTTTTTCCTTTGACTTTTCTGCTTTATATTTAAGGTTTTGTTGATCATGAAATCATCAAGCACCTACATTTCTTCTGATATTATACTGAAAGTGGCTTGAATCCTTTACAGCAAAATCTCCAAAGTTTGTCTGGACTGATGGTCTCAGACTCCTACTTTCTAATTCTGAAATTCACTCAAATTAGAGTTTTATCTTTACCACTCCACCAAGACTTTTTTTTTAACAGTTTTTTTCTCCAACAACGTTAAAAATTTGCTAATTCTAATGTCAGTTATTAGTCTCTATCTTACTTGACCTGTCCGTAGCATTCTCTCAGTGAAATGTGTTTTTCACTCTGCATCCAAAGCACCATATTCTTGTTTTCCTACTACCTTACTGGATGCTCCTGTCTCTTTGGCTGATTCCTTACTTTCTCCATAATTTCTTATTGTTGGAGTTACTTATATGGCTTAGTGCTTGTATGTCTTTTATGTCTATACTTGTATTGATCTCATCTAATTCTTATGCATCAGTACTTCTGCATAGTATCTTCAGGAACTCTCCTTTGAACTTCAACACTATATATCCAATTGTCTTCTTGCATTACCACTTAGAAGTTGGGCATCTCAAAATTAACTAATGGATCAGACCCAGCTTTTGATTATCATCCACACCCAAAATTTGCCTCAACCAAGATTTTCTCTAAGTTAATGAATCACCATTGCAAATGCCCCAATAACTATTGCAGACAAAATTCACCAATGGATGCTAAAATGAGTGGGTAAAAGTTTGAGAAGAAACAGGATTTGGAGTCTCTCTCCAAAGATGTTTATTATTAACTGTAAATTTAAGATAGTAACTATTCATGGTGAAACCTAGAAGACCCCAACCCATGCAAATGATCAAGGTAAATATCACCAGTAATAAGACATACTGATACCACAAATCCATTGCATGATGCATAAAGTGTGTGTGGTAGTCTTTCCAAAAATATAAGACCTTTCTGCTAAGAGTGTTTGTTTCCCCCTAAAATTCATACATATGAAGCCCTCACCCTCAGTTTGGCTGTATTGGATATGGGGGCTTTAAGGAGGTAATTAAGGTTATGTGAGATAAGGATAGGGCCCTAATCCAATAGAATTAGTGCCTTTTTTTTTTTTTTTTTTAGAGATTTTATTTACTTATTCGAGAGAGGCAGAGACACAGGCAGAGGGAGAAGCAGGCTCCATGTAAGGGGCCTGATGTGGGACTCGATCCCTGGACTCCAGGATCACACTCTGGGCTGAAGGCAGACATTCAACTGCTGAGCCACCCAGGCGTCCCAGGATGAGTGTCCTTATAAGAGGAGACATCAGAGTGCAACCCTCCTCTTGATACGCTCACCCCAGCACAAATGCACTAAGCCAGTATGCTGAAACTGAGGAAATGTTATATGAGGACACTGAGAATGCTGCCATCCACAAACCAGGAAGAGGACTCTTACCAGAAACTGAATTGGCTGGAACATTGATCTTGGACTTCTTGAACTGTGAGAAATATTTTTGTTGCCTAAACCACCTAGTCTGTGGTATTTTGTTATGGTAGCCTTAGCAGACTAATACACTTCAAGGACGAGAAATTGTCAGATAAACTCATTTTCTGGGGCATTCTTCAAAATTACTGATTAGTATTCTTCCAAAGTGTCAAGATCCAAAGACAAAAGAGTGAAGAACTGTGACAGACTGGAAGAGACTAAGGATGGGGGGGGGGGGGGACAACTACATGCAATATGGGACCTAGGATAGGATTGTGGAACAGAAAGTTGACATAAGTGGAAAAAGTATGTGAAATTTGATTAAGGCCTGTAGTTTAGCTAATAATATTGCACCAATGTTAATTTCTTGTTCTTGTTGCAAGGTGTTAAATTGAGAAGTGGGGTAAGGGATATAAGGGAAATTTTTGTACTAGCTTTGCATTTTTTTCTATAAGTCTAAAAACAAAAAGTTTAAAAACAAAATCTTTTAAAAATGTAAATCAGAACATTTCCTGCCCTGTTCAAAATCCTCTAGTGGCTTTCTATCTCACTCAAAATTAGATGCCAAATTCTACACAATGGCCTAATAACTTTGTCTCTCTGTTTTCTCTATGACCTCATATCCTGCTAGTACCCCTATCCCTATGGAACTTTGGCCAAACCAGCTTCTTGCTGTTCCTTAAATATAGCAGGCACCTTTCTGGCTCAAGTCCTTGCATTGGTTTTTCCCAACCCCATTGGCTGTTTCTCCTCTAGCTAACTGCATGACCTGCACCCTCACTTTTTTTGACTTTACTCAAGTATCAACTCATCAGTGAGGCATTCTTCATCACCCTGTTTAATGTTGCACCAACCGCCTCCTGCGAATCCAAACTCTGATATTTTTTCCCATAACCCTTATCAGTATTCTGCATATTTCATTTATTTAATTCTATTATATGTTGATATACTGCACCTAAGTTTAGGGAAGAGGCTTTTGACTGTTTTGTTCACTGATGTGTTGCCAGTAAACCTGAATGAAGAATGGTTACATGGAAGCTGCTTTATTTCCAATGTCTCATTCCAGTTTCAAGAGCAGGAAGAAAGAAGCAATAAGGAAGAGATATATGAAGAAAATAAAACCCTCCTTCATGTGTTATTAGATCACTGGCCAAATTGTGTTACATGGCCTCCTTTAACTACCATGAAGGTTGAGAATATTACTGTTCAAAACAAAATTCACCTTCTGTTGATAAAGAAGACAGAGAATGACTGCTGGGTAGATTGCTGATAATGCCTGCCGCAAGAACCGTATC